CGTATAAGCCGCTGAAATGTTCGTTAGGTACTCTGGCCCAGGTGTGGATGTATGTCACAAGCTGCTTCTGGACGCCGATGTCAGTGGATGCAACACACATTATCCCGAAGGATTCGCAGCTCCGGGCATCAGTCGCTACAGTTTCCTTCACAGTGTCAGCTCAAATGTAATGCTCGAGCTTAGCTGATGCGGGGTCATTTCGCGAAAAACATTGTGTATTGAGTAGGAAGTGGTGCTTTCTTGCGTGTGTTGCATTGGATGTCCAGATGTCCGTGGTCAAAGCAACATAGCTTGCGTCCGCCCGCATCCCCTTCAAAAGGCTCACACCGTCGGCGTGATCCTTGCGGGCAAGACTAGCAATTTGAGTTCGCGAAGGAAGCACATATCTGGGCTCAACAAACTCCATCAGCTCCTTTAGGCCGGCGTCCGTGACTAGGCTGAGCGGCCGCCCATCTAGCCAGGTCCACCGTGCCAGGATCTTGGTGATGGCCATTGCGCGAGGAGCCGACACAACCCGCCCTCTGGCCGCTTTCGCCTAAGCGAACTTGACGATGGCCGGCTGAGAGTCGACTTTCTTGGCAGCGCCGGTCTGCACCACGAAGTCAGAGGGGTGGCGATTTCTCAAGTGTCTCTACAAATTCGATGTTGAGGAGCCATTGTACTTCAACACATCCTCATACAATAGACACTTCGCTTGATGGCCCTCGACATCGCGAGTTTAAAATTTCCACACCGCGGAACGTGCCTGACGACTGAATGGAGTGGATGCAGGGCTCAAAGGAGCTTGCGACAGAGTCAGAGAGTTCGACATCGCAAAGACAGGAAACGTGTAAAGGACAACCTAAACACTTCAGTTCAAACTTCAAACACACAAGGAGACGACTCGACTCGTTCATAAAACTTGCTCCAACAGGCAACACTGAAGAGTATTTTCCCATGGCAACGAATCTTATCCGGGTGAGTCTCGACGGTACGGTTCCTGGGCAGCGGCTGGAAACCATTTTAGAGACGACAGTAACTACTATGTATATGTAGTGATTTATATAGCTACCGGTACTTGTAGTGGTATCGGTATAGCTACCGGTACTTGTAGTGGTATCGGTATAGCTACCGGTACTTGTAGTGGTACCGGTATAGCTACCGGTACTTGTAGTGGTACCGGTCGGTATAGCTACCGGTACTTGTAGTGGTACCGGTATAGCTACCGGTACTTGTAGTGGTACCGGTATAGCTACCGGTACTTGTAGTGGTACCGGTATAGCTACCGGTACTTGTAGTGGTACCGGTATAGCTACCGGTACTTGTAGTGGTACCGGTATAGCTACCGGTACTTGTAGTGGTACCGGTATAGCTACCGGTACTTGTAGTGGTACCGGTATAGCTACCGGTACTTGTAGTGGTACCGGTATAGCTACCGGTACTTGTAGTGGTTCCGGTATAGAACTTTAAAAAACTCTTTTTGTTTTTGTTGGTCCGGCACGTTCGGGCTCTCCGCCTTCTCCGTGAAATAATATTAAAAAAAGGTTCTGCGTTCCGGCTCTCCGCCTTTCCCGCGAAGGCACGAACATCAGAAAACTAGAGGAAAACAAACAAACACAAGAAGCAAGAGTGACAAAAAAGCAGAAAATATGATAACATGTTATAAATGAGCACGGCAATCGACCTCAACAGGGGATAGCCGCCTCAGCAACAACAAGAGCAGCTGAATCCGCGGCAAAGACCGGTGCATAGAGCCGCCTAGCACCCCTCAGGCACATCACACTGGATCGGATCAAGGCAAAGCTGATCTGACACCGGATTGAAGCCATCACGGCACTGTAGGTCTCTCCGGTCTTGTCGGCGATGAGGGACGCTATCCTCTTGTACTTAGAGGTGGCAGATTTCCCCATTCCTCCCGTAGTGGAGAACACGGCGGGAACAAAGCTGGAGTGTTCCACTTCCCGGTTTCGCTGCTCATAGGCACAGCGCTTGGCTTCTTCGTGACGGGTGTAGCTAGCAGCAAGTGAGTTGAGGCGATTCGAGGATGCAAAAGGGTTAAACACCCGAACATCAATGTTGGTGCACTCGAACCGCCCTCCCCGAGTACCACTAGCCACCACGTCAAGGCGGGCTTGGTCGTCGCCCACAGCCGTGCGGTAGCGGAGCTGCTCTCCAGTGAGCGGCTGCAAATGTGGCTCAATAGCCACCTGTATATGTACCGTAATGTCGCGTATAAAAGCAGGTGCTTACGGCCGTATAAGCCGGGGTTCAAACCATGCTTCTATTCAAGTTACGCTTCTATTCAAAACATGCTTCTACGTCAACATCATCAGTCTGCACTGTGCAGTGCATACTGCCACGTATGTACTGCGCAAGTACTTGCACGCGTCTTGACCTGTATAGAAGCATGACTCGAATAGAAGCCTATTTTTTTAAGTGCGCCGTGACACAGACGCATGGTTTGAATAGAAGCCGCTCTCTGCAAAGTACATGTGCACGTACATGCGTGGCGGTATGCACTGCACAGTGCAGACTGATGATGTTGCCGTAGAAGCATAACTTGAGTAGAAGCATGGTTTGAACCCCGGCTTATACGGCCGTAAGCACCTGCGTTCATACGCGACATTACGGTAAGTGTAAAAAGGAGGACAAAATGTTATGAGTTATGACTGACTGTCCACCAACGTAACCAGATCATATTCAATCAGCGAGTGAAACGTTAAAGGGGAAGTTAAGGCAAAAATTAAAATTTCACCAGTTGTAGTCTTCGGGGTGCTGAGTCGAATGGTCTTGGTCCGAGAAAGCTGAGACGCTCCCTTCCTACTTGAATCCCAATCGAACTCGCGCACTTCCACCGAAACTGGGTGACTGCGCCCTACGAGATGGGGATTTGTATGCAAAATGTCACTAAAAGCGCCATTTCGTTCTTATAAAAGCACGGATGACCGCGATTGGCCCATATGTTGTAGTCTTTTGGACGCTGAATCGACTGGTTTTGGTCCGAAAAGGCTGCGATGCAGCGTTCCTCCTTTATTCCCAATCGAACATGGTTGAAGAAGCGGTCACGTGCTCCTGGGTGCCAAAATCACCTGGTCACCACGCCAGCAGGCGACAACTTTCACACCAAGGTTCAACTCGAGTGACAGGACTGTACCCAAAAAAGGTCAAAACAGGCTGTAAGTTGTACCCTGCAGGCACGGTGACCAGGTGACTGGTGTACGCAGGAGCACGTGACCGCTTGTTCAACCATGTTCGATTGGGAATTAGGGGCGAACGCTGCATCGCAGCCTTTTCGGACCAAAACCAGTCGACTCAGCGTCCAAAAGACTAAAGCATATGGGCCAATCGCGGTCATCCGTGCTTTTATAAGAACGAAATGGCGCTTTTAGTGACATTTTGCATACAAATCCCCATCTAGTAGGGCGCAGTCACCCAGTTTCGGTGGAAGTGCGCGAGTTCGATTGGGATTCAAGTAGGAAGGGAGCGTCTCAGCTTCCTCGGACCAAGACCATTCGACTCAGCACCCCGAAGACTACAACTGGTGAAATTTTAATTTTTGCCTTAACTTCCCCTTTAAATGTCTCAGTACTCCCTGTCAGTGTTGTGCCTTTTTTGTTGCACTCGCTAATTGAATATGAATTAGTTACGTTGGTTGACAGTTAGTCATAACTGGTAACAGTTTGTCCTTCTCCATCTTATCCACGATTACACTGGCTCACCATTCGAGAACAAGAGAGTGTAGTTAATAATAGAGAGACCCGCATTCACTGCCGCTAACTGCTTGCATGTGCGCCTGCATGCATACCACTGACTGCCTGCATGCGCACCTGGCTACTGATTTGCCGGCACGTCCTGCCCTGCTATGTGGGCCATGCGTTACGTAGACTGTCGCAGTCCGCTCGGTGCGCTGCAGGGCAGTTGATCTATGCAGCGTACACCAGTACACCTGCTACTACTAATGCTAAGTACCGGTACAGTCATGCACAGTAGAGACGCACACTGAAGAACGTGGAGCCCGAGAACGTCCAGCCTGAAATGCCAAGAATGCCACAGCATCAAGTTAAGAACGGCGGTGTTGGTTTTCTGGCAACTTTTGGGAGGAAAGTAGTACCAGTTCAGGGAAAGATAGCTGTTATCATCGTTCGTTAACAAATATACATATAGGTAATCAATAAACAAATTTCAGTGATCGCTTCACCCCTGGTATTTTTTGTGTGCAGGAAAAATCTTAGATGAAAATTGGTCAAAACGATTTGCTACGTACGTGGTAAAGGAGTTGTCCTGAGTGATGTGATGGGCAAATCTGAGATACGGATAGTACCCGGTCCCGGGGCGCTTGGATAAAGAGTGTTTCGAAGGTACTCTTACAGTGCAGCCTGCGCGCATGCAATGTGGAGTTGCAGCAAGTGGTCAAGTCCTTTTGCCTGCATGACAGGAGCCGCGGAATAGCTCGACATGCAAGTGATGGTATTGTTTCTTTTTTGTTTGTGTATTGTTATTGTGTTCTTTGCTTGTGCAGAGCCACTATCCATAGCCATAGCTGCCGGTCCGTTCTCTGTGGATGACAATCTCACATATCAACCTCTGATAGAGCTCATGGCAAAGGTGGCTGAGGAGCCGCCAGATGTCCTCCTGCTGGTATGTTCTACGACGAGTTCCATGACCTACAGTCTGTTGTTGTTGTTGTTGTTGTTGTTGTTGTTGTTTTTGTTGATAATGATGATGTTTGGTGGTCATACGTGCCCCACCACAGTTTGGCACATACCAAGTTAGTTGCTTTCAAGGGTTGTGGGTCGCCTGTGTAAGCCCTCTATATGCCCTCTAGCTGCACGTGTACTTGTGTGTGTGTGTGTGTGTGTGTGTGTGTGTGTGTGTGTGTGTGTGTGTGTGTGTGTGTGTGTGTGTGTGTGTGTGTGTGTGTGTGTGTGTGTGTGTGTGTGTGTGTGTGTGTGTGTGTGTGTGTGTGTGTGTGTGTGTGTGTGTGTGTGTGTGTGTGTGTGTGTGTGTGTGTGTGTGTGTGTGTGTGTGTGTGTGTGTGTGTGTGTGTGTGTGTGTGTGTGTGTGTGTGTGTGTGTGTGTGTGTGTGTGTGTGTGTGTGTGTGTGTGTGTGTGTGTGTGTGTGTGTGTGTGTGTGTGTGTGTGTGTGTGTGTGTGTGTGTGTGTGTGTGTGTGTGTGTGTGTGTGTGTGTGTGTGTGTGTGTGTGTGTGTGTGTGTGTGTATGAGCTGCTCGTCTGCCCTGCCAGCCATGGCTCTGTATTATGCCCCGTGCTCTGATGTGCAATAGTTTGACGTTTTTCTTGTGTTCACTATCATTCCACTAAATGTTGTGTTATGTGTTCAGATTGGTCCGTTCGTTGATACAAACTCAGAGGAAGTGAAGGTGAGATACCGGTACATGTACACTGAATGGGACAATGGTTGAGTCATGTTCAATGTGCATATTCTTCCATATTTTTCCATGTTTTACCATGGAATAACGGGGGGGGGGGGGGTGCAGCTTATACTTGGGAAAATACGGTAGACGCGGTGTACGGCAGTGGTTTGTATGACATGACTACAACCATGTGTCCCGCTGACCAGACTATGACTACAACCATGTGTTCCGCTGACCAGACTATGGCCGCCTCATTAGGATCGTGATGTTGCAGAAGAAGAAAGTTTCGTTCACAGCCGCTTTTATTCTAAGCCGCTATGCTATGCTTTATTTTGTTCAGGAACAATTCCGAATTCTCACCCCATGAACGTTTTCTTGTCACAATTATCAATGGAATTTGTGACTAAAAGGAATGATTTTTCTTACTATTCTTGTATCCTCGTTTCCCACTCCAAGTGTACGAATCCTACTGTAGTTTCATCATTCCTTTTAGTCACAAATTCCATTGATAGTTGTGACAAGAAAACATTCTGGAACCCTTCAATTGTTGCTATGATTGTGATATCAGTGCACACACAGTTTTATTCGTTGCTTTACTAAGACTATTGTCTCCACGTCGCCTGTTCAAAAGAAAACAAGTCAGGCTCTTTCCAATCAACATTCAAATTTTCCACTCGCAGTGCATTGCCTTCTCTTTGTCTTCAAGGAAATTAGAATTTTTGCTTTGAATTGCCGTATTTACCGGAGTATAGTGCACACTTTAGATGCGCTATTTCAGGCCCCGAATCGCATATGCGCACTATGCTCCGAATATGAAAATGAATGCACTTCGAAAAGGAGTGCTATGTATCAAACGGTTGCGAAGTTTGGACCTCTGGGTCTCTGACCCTGCACAAGCCATATCCATGCATTTGTGATGTCTTCTACCAGCTACACTGCAAATGCAAGATGAGTATGAGACAATGGTCGCACTATTTAATATACAGCCTTTTTTAATCCATATTAAATTTCTCAACTGTAGGCTGCGCATTATACTCCAGATATACCTTGAATTGCCAAAACGTTGGTCAAAAAAGGGGTACGCGTTGTGCTCCGGCAAACACAGTACTTAGTTAATTTGAAACAAAAACTTCAGCTGGTACGGTGGTACAGTGGTACGGTGGTACAGTGGTACGGTGGTACAGTGGTACGGTGGTACAGTGGTACGGTGGTACAGTGGTACGGTGGTACAGTGGTACGGTGGTACGGTGGTACGGTGGTACAGTGGTACGGTGGTACAGTGGTACGGTGGTACGGTGGTACGGTGGTACGGTGGTACAGTGGTACGGTGGTACAGTGGTACGGTGGTACAGTGGTACAGTGGTACGGTGGTACAGTGGTACGGTGTGTCGTGTGCATGTACTATGTTCACATGTGTTGATAGTGCACGGCTGTGTTTTCTTTCTTTGAAATGTTGGACTCCTGCTTCATGGCAGGTTTGTCTGCTTGTCCAACACTGACTAATATCTCCTCTTTCCTTCTGCCCTGCTTGCCTTGTAGAAATGTTCTGTTGACATGCTGTATGATGATTTCTTCCGCGCGCTGGTTGAGCAGAAGATTGTATCTCAGTAAGCAGCAGTTCCTGATTTCTTTGTATATGCGTACATTACGTACCTGTACCTGGTTGTGGCTGTGGGTGTGAGTTTGTACTCCACAGTATGAGATTGGCCATTCTTCTCTGTGGGCTGCGCTAGGAATTACAGTGGACACACGTTTCTTTTGCCACGGAGCGGTTGCAGTTTGGCTTGTCCGATGCATTTGAACAACACTTCTAATATACTGTGTGATATACTGTGTGATATACTGTGTAATATACTGTGTGATTGAGATGACTGACATGTGCCTGTGCTCGTTACACTGTTCATTAAAGGCTTCCGGCAAGCACACATCTCGTTTTAGTACCATCCAGTCGTGACATCCACCACCACAGTGTCTATCCGCAGCCGCCGTTCGCCTCATGGTCAGCTCTCAAGAAGGTAAAATATTTTGCACTGCGGTTGTATGCATGCATTGCACACAAGCTATCACCGTAAAGTACCACCAGAGCGCCCCGTCTCGCCAGAGCGCCCCACCTTGATTTTACAGCCAAGGAAAGGAAAATTGTATGGCAGAGTGCAACGAAGTTTGTACGGCGTGAGAACCTTAGTATGCTAAGGTGACACTTGGCCGGTTTTGTGTGTAGCTCGTGTCTGCTTGAAGGTAAATTGAGTACGGATTGACTGCAGAGTATGTAATATGTGTACAAGGTTCGTGTCGTATGACCTACAGGCAGGAGATCACCTCCACAATACGACCACGAAAGGACGAGATTGTGGGGCGCTCTGGCGGTACTTTACGGTATATGCGTGCACTTCATTGAAGCTTCTGTATGCAGGTGCTGCTCCGAAGCTGCTCTATACATGCACATGTACTGTACGTGACAGACTTGTGAATTCATGCAGTCTTGAGACTCAGAAGAATCAAGCCATAAGTATAGGACCGGGGGCAACTATGGCTTTGCATGCAAAGGTGCTTGTGTGCGCGTCCGTGCGTGCATTCAGGGATACAGTGAAACCTGTCTAAGGCGACCCCTCAAGGGACGAGAAAAAGTGGTCGCCGTGGCCAGGTTCAGTGGGGCATGTGACCATATCCACATGTGATACATCATTTTGATCTGTGCATCACAGTGCACACACCTATGCTACTCTAGCACGACTCATGTCCCTGGGGTCCTCAGACCTGTCAAATGTCGTGCATGCACCATGTACATAATTATGTACATCTACACTTCCTGCACTGATGTGTAGATCTACCATGCCTGTTGCACCATGCAATGCGTACATTTACATGACTAGCACTGTGCAACACGGTCGCGGGTGGGTGGTCGTCGGTCGCGTTGAGCGAGTGGTCGCCTTATCCGAGGTGTTTTGAATGTAAATGCGTCCGTGACAAGGAAAAGTGGTCGCCATTACAGGTTTTACTGTATCTGGCATTACAATCATTGGATATACTAAGTACATGTGCCAGTAGCATTGCTATTTGGTGGTTGTTGTTTGATTTCCGTTCCTCGGCTTGTATTGTAAAGGGTGGCAGGTCATGTGGTACTGCTGTTTTCCGTTTCTTATATCTGTGCCTAGGACAACATTCACCTCTTCTCTGACCCGGCGTGTGTATCAATCAATGGCGTCGTCTTAGGCTGGACTTCGGTGGATGTTCTCATGCAGCTCAATCGCCAAGAGGTTGTGTAAGGTCACCTTGCTCATGCCAAATATAGTTATATTTATACCTGTATGGTCTCCTTGCTCATGCCAAATATAGTTATATTTATACCTGTATAGAGCGAGTGCAGTGATGGTGTGCTGGTTGATGAAAATCTGTACGATCGTACAGGGCCGAATGCTGCTTCTTACCCCTTTATCCAAATATAGTTTTAATAGTTTACATGATAAATTTACTCCCGTGTCAGGAGTTAGCACATCTGGACATGTCAACTTCTGTACAAGATTCTTGGGGTGGACCGATGAACAGTAATGCAAATCTAGGCCGATCATCTTTTCCGAGGTGCGCGTGGTAGCGCGTGGTAGGTTAAAAGTAGTTAGATGAGCAAGATCACTGCACGGCATGGCCGGGCGGCGGCATTGCGCAACTAAAAACTGTATAGGGAGCGTGTACATCAAAAGAGAAAATAGCGGTCACCTGTCAGGCTATGTGTAGACCTGAGTAGCCTCCGTCACCAAAGGTCGAAGAATCCCAAGCATCGTGAAGTTAGCTTGAGAAAAGGCGACTTTCAGCAGCTGGTCTTCTTGCTATCGTTCATATGGGCTTTGTCAAACAGACATAGTTAGGTGAAAGAAGTCCACTGCTGTTTTGAGACGCGCTTGCGGCAGCATAGAGGCTAGCTTGTTCAAGAGTCTGAGTTTGCTGGCGTTGGTTTGGCAGCTGCGGCCGATCAGTGCCAGCAAGGTCTTGGTGGCGAGCTGCTCATGCCCAGGATGTATACTGTACCTTCTTAGTTGTGCGCTCCATTGCTTGTGTGACTACCTTTACCTATAGCTAACGTGTTTCGTTTTCATGGTCTCACTTTGCTTGCCTTTCTTCTTTGTTGTTGTTGTTGTTGTTGTTGTTGTTGTTGTTGTTGTTGTTGTTGTTGTTGTTGTTGTTGTTGTTGTTATTGTTGTTATTGTTGTTGTTGGATTGTACCCTACCCTGTCTAGTCTTGGCAATGCCGGTGACAAGCAGTCGCGTCTACCTGCACATATCCTACAGCAAAGGAGGTACGTTGTCTGGCGACATTCATTCATGTTGCTCTTTTCAGTCTTTTGCTTGATCGGCGACTGCTGTGAACTAGTTTAGAAATTGAATCGCGGCCTTGGAATACACTGTACCAGCATTGCTGGTGTGTTAGTACCTGTGTGCAGTGTGGCACAGCTGGTACTAGCGTTACAGAGGTTGCTGCCTTTTGAAATCACCGTGACATGCCAATGCAGTCAGTAGTACTCTGAACTCTAGGTCCATGTCATGGTGGCCACTGTGACAATGGCAACACAGCAACGCACTGTTTTTTGGAGGAGGTAGAAATCAATGGTTCGCTTCTAGAGGGGACTACACAAGTTTCCCTCCTGCTAATAGCAGCCGTCGTGCTTTGCATCTGTGCCCCGTTGTGTTTTTGCCTCCAGTTTCTGCCCGACGTTTCCGCCACCGAAGGGTGTAAACATGGAGGTTGATCAGCTGTTGATGGAGCACAACTTCATGCCATGTACACCTCATGTCCTCATCCTACCGTCAGATTTCACCCGTGGTTTCATCAAGGTGAGAGCCACGTGTGCATTGTGAGAGTCAGCACTTCTTATCAGTACATGCCTTTTCTTTGTGCGCTGAACCAACAACCCATGTTCCAGAGCCTGTACTCTTCTGGGTGCAGAAACGAATGATCTTGGTCTGAGGAGGCTACGACGGACCGGTCATCAACCATTCCCGATCGAGCTTGTTGCCCTATCCCGGAATTCAACATGATGATACGTGTATAGAAGTGGGCCACTGGGAAACACCCAGTGCATTAACTTATTCATACTTACAAGTATTTAGGGGCCGTCCGTAATTATCGAACGTTTTTCACCAAACGAATTATTTTAGTTTAGACCCAACCCCTCCCTCCCTCCCCCTCAGAACGTAAAAAAAGTTTGACATATGCATGCATAATACAACAAAAGTTGCAAGTGTGTAACTGCTCCTGTTGGGCATGCACATGTATCAATGTTTTCTGAAACGAAATTGGTCAACCCCCTCCCACCCCATAACGAAATTATTTCGTTTTGTGAAAAAAGTTCGATAATTATGGACGACCCCTTAACTAATGCAAAGCAACAGACTTTAGGGACTGCTGCGATCCCAGCTTCTTCGGGACTAAAACCGCTTGTCTCAGCGCCCACAGAACTACACAGTCATTCTAAAGCTTGCACCCATGCAATCATGCACCCATGCAATCATGCAATCATGCAATGCTTTCCGTGCAGTTTTGCCCACATCTGTAGGCGTCCATGTCATCCTTTTGACAGTGCTCACAATGATGTCACAGCATTGAAGTCCGAATATCTCAAGAACTCTGTATCCAGGCCTCCTCCGACCAAAACCAATCGATTCAGTGGTGAAACTACAGGCTCTCAATTTCAATTTTATCCCAAAGTTCCTTGACCTGTACTGCCTCTTTGACATCAAACGACACGTTTATGCCTTCTCTTGTTTGATGCGTGACACAGAACGTTAACGGCTGTGTTTGCATCAATCCATCGCGCCTCTCCAAGGGCCTCTTCTCGCGCATGCTCATCAAGCCATCCTCTTCTGCTGCCGGCAGCAGTCTGGCATCGACATCAGTAACCCAGCTTGTCAACATCTAAGGCCTACTTTTTGTAGCTTACAATACGAATTGAAACTCATGCCGGCTAGATTCAATGCGCTAATTGTAGCTGGAGTACATAACGTTATAAAGCCGCCGTGCGTGCTTCTTGTTTGTAGATATTTGTTGTATACTAAAGTCTTATTGTACATACTGAGTACATACATGTGTATTTCAAAGATAGCGAAGTCGTTTGAGTGCCCTTTTGAAGACACGTGGTCATCCGTGAGAGTAGTCTATAGACATTTTTAGAAGCTGTATTCTTTATTTCAATTTTCCTTTTTTTGTCAGTTGCTTTGTTGGCATGGTTGCATTCAACAGTTCTCAGGTGCTTGTCATTAATTTTTACCAATACTACTTACTACAATAGTCATGGTAGCTCTACATGAACTATCACTAGCACTCTCTTTTTTTTAACCTTTTCTCTGCCCCAACTTCTAGGCGGAACAAGACTACTTGTACAAAAAGGAACGAAACTGCCGTTGCGTGTCAGTTATCCAGCACCCTCGGGTCCGGACGCTTTTGGATGAGTGGATGACCGACTCTACATAGCCATCTTGTGTTCATCACACTTTAATACTGTTGATACTCGCTTATCAAAAGGCGAGTGGAGAGCTAGCAGGGAATCAGGGCATGATCGATTGGGCGAATCCCGAGCAAGTGCGCTCTGAGTGAGCGTTGTCGTTTGCCCGAATCAGGAGTAGGTGTACTTGGAATGGAATCCAACCACACCGTCCCCCACGCCCGGAGTGGAAATGGACTTTAGCGGTTTTTTACAGCATTTTTACAGAATCTTTGCACGATATCAAGAGTGCATGAACAATTGTGTGCAACTGTGGTTATGGGTCAATGCGCGGCGCGCTGCCTTCATATCATTACATAACTTGCTTTCATCACGCTCTGAAAGCATGCATTCAAACTCACAATTTCTCATACGAGCCCATCCGTTTTTGCTCAATTCGTTCCAGTACCTATGCGAACTCTAAATTCTAGCGCTTGAACTCCAGTTCTGTACGAAAGTTCAAAGTTCATTTCAAACCAGAGGGGAAGTGCGGTGTTTGATTTTCCGCAGTGCGCGGACTGCAGCTGAATGATTGTACGAAGGCAGCGCGCCGCGCATCTGGCCCATACAAAAGAGATCACAGTTGCATACTTTGACGATTATGCCTACATTTTGTGATACTACACCCTTGCTTTGTTCGATTGGGCCAGCGTTGCTCGGACAACACCGCCTGCTCGCACTCAATCCAGATTCGCCAATCGAAGACACCCTGACTCCCTGGTGTAGAACATGACTTTCCCTGCTTTCAGCTTTTTGATTCCTTTGACACAATTCTTTCCGGAGACGGTTATGGTGACGGACTTGCATGTACAGTACACAGGTACATGCAGTCTAAATTTTACCTAGAGCCCAAGAGATCCAACCTGAAATACTAAGAACGCAGCCGGATCGCCGATAATATTAACCACCCCTTGGAAACAATGTTCTCCTGGTTGGTTGAGAGACTAACCTCCTTTCCCCCAACTCACTTGTGAGGTCTGAATTCGCCACTATAGTAAGGTGAACAGGCATAGTGGTGGCCTGCGATAACCGACATGCCAGGTGACTGACCGACAGATACCGGTAACCAGCATGCAACTGTGTATTCAGAAGTACTAAGTTTTGTACGAGACTCGTAGTTGTTCATATTTAAACAAACAAAACAGCAGATACACACACATGTCACTGATGCAGAATTACTATACTACAAAGCAAAGCATAGGGGTATTCATTGCTACACTGCATTCGAAGTAATGATACAATCATGTCCTACAGCACTGTATCGACAGGGCCAACCTATGCACAGCGAAAACATGTAATGGCATGCACGCACAGCCGGAAATTAGATGTTGTCGATGTCCAAGTCATCATCATCACCACCATCATCATTGCCTGCAGCAGCAGCAGCAGTCTTGATCTTCTGACGCTCTTCTTTCTCGACTTGAGCTTGGCTCTTGTGTGTGTAGACCACCTCAATGTCGTCTTCATCGTCGCTCTCCTCTTCCTCCTCTGCCTCGCGCAGCCATTTCAGAAAGGGTGTGGCGCGGTCCCGGATGGTCTGGGACATTTCTTTGCTGACATAGCGCTTTGATACCTATAGCACAAACAGCGGCAACACCAAAAGCAAAGGGACAATCATCGTCTTCAGAAACACCCATTGTACAGTAACATGGTCAACAGGAGCCACAAACATGCACCATATACCGTATGTCTGCACCTTTAAAGCCATGGCGGTGTATTCGATTATAAAGCCAGTCTCAGTTATAAAGCCATGGGCTTCATAGATGAAATGACATTTGAAGGAAGTTTTGCAAAAATGAAGGAATAAAGCGGGATTCACAGAAGCTTTTTTGCGATGCGACACGCGATGCGACAGCCGCGAAACCGGGAAATCCCCAAATCGCAACCATCGCGGACCCCACACAACTGCCACAACAGGGCCATCGCAGAAGTTGAGCTTGGCTCACGCGTCCGTCGCAGATCGCGTCGCATCGCAAAAAAGCTTCTGTGAATCCCGCTTAAGTGCTATCCTAACAAACTTACAGCCCAGCAGAACGGATGAACAAGTAGATTTAGATTGAAATTTCTGTGTGGACTTTGACTTTTAGGGCATGGCGTAGTGGGCGAGTCATTTTGCATCTAAAATATCTAGGAAAGCAGCAGTGTTTCGATTATAAGGCGCTGACATAGGGTACATAGTTCTGTTCGAATTTGTCATAGAACACAACGGGAGCAGACGAGCGCTACATGTACGTGTGCAAGTACTTCATAATCCCATGCCAAAAGCAGTATTTAAAATTCTAAAACTAAGTACACTGCAAGCATTGGAAGTTGATTTTGAAAGCATGATCAGGCCCGTTTGGCCGTGGAGTACGTCAGAAATCTCCAGAAAAGCAGCCGTTGTCTTTTCTGCAAAATACCGCAGGATTTCTAAACCATGCAGAATCGAGAATCTACGGGGACAGTAGAACTGCTGCAGAAGTCAACGGAGGATGTAAGGAAGCTTACCTTTCCTTCCCATTCAAGAAAGACTTCCTCATCAACCAAGTCCAGATCATAACTCATCTTCCAGATGTGAGGAACACGGTTGAGCAGAGCGGGATGGCGTTTCCCTACCAGGTTCTCCAGAGCACCCAGAAAGTGTTTCTGTGCTTTCTTGTTCTCACGGAGAAACTGTACATAGCCAAGAGAATACACAGAGGAAGGAGTCACGCACATTCATCTAGAACAGAGTGCAGAAAATATGAAGAAGACGGGCCAGTACAATCAAGTAATATGAAAGCAGTACAAAGATAATGCTAAAACACGGCTATACGCGCTGAACAGGAAGAAGGATGGGAGCTGACATGTCAATAGCACTGAAGTACCGTATTTTTCGGAGTATAGTGCGCACTTTAGACGTGCTATTTTAGGCCCTAAATCGCAGGTGCGCACTATGCTCCGAATATGAAATGCATGTACTTCAATGAAGATTGAAGTGTGCACCCTCAATGAAGATTGGGGGTGCGCGTTATACAAAGGTGCGCACTATACTCCGAAAAATACGGTACAAGCAAACGACAGTAGAATGTATTTAAAAAGGCATTCTAGTTCACTGACGTCATGCGATTCAACCCTAAAACCGGGGCATTTTAACCCTATTTTTTGCGATTTAAACTTAAACCACACAACCCATACGTGTCTACAGGTACTGCAGAGTTGCTGAAAAAGAGATGTTCACCATGTAGTATTCACGGTACCGCCCAATTTACCCGCTTCACATCCCGAGCGGCTGATCCATGATCATCTTTATCGAGCGGATTGTGATGTAGTACGTACAGCGTGCGCGCCGCACCCTTCAACCAACGAACATCAAACTACTGGATGGGGATAAAAGAGATTGGAGTCGTCTTGATCAGTCCAATTCAACTGTTACTCAACTACGAAGATGCTTTTCAGCTGTACGATGTGCAACCACGACCAGCCTCCAGCCGTTCGTGGACCATCTCAAATCAAAAGGGCACCAAAAGAACCTGGAGGCCGGTCGTCAGCCCACGTTCTTATGTTCCTGATAAGTGATCTACTATGTGAATCGCGCACGTTTCAAAGAGATATCCGTCATGTAGTACTCACATCACCGCCCAATTTACCCGCTTCACATCCTGATTGGGTAGTGAGTGGTGGTCACCATGATCATCATCTTTATTGCGCGAGTTTCAACTATCTACTATGTGAATCCCACACGTTTCAAAGAGATGTTCACCATGTAGTATTCACGGTACCGCCCAATTTACCCGCTTCACATCCCGAGCGGCGGACTCCACGATCATCGCGCAGAGTTTTAATGTTGAACTGCGCGCGCACCGCACCCTTCAACCAACGAACATCAAACAACTGGATTCGCCTTGATCAGTCCCATTCAACTACAGTGTATCGACAGAACCGACGTACATCATGCTCTTCAGTTGTTCCGTTTGTATGAAGACCACGACCGGCCTCTGGCCGCTCGTGGCCCACCTGATGTCCAAGGGACATCGGCAAAATCTGGAGGACGGTCATCAGCCTTTATTCAAGTGTAGCTGGTAAGTGATCTGTTATGCAATTATCTTTATTTGAAATACAGGAGATCTTATACATCTTGTTTTTATCTGTTTCCTCCATGCAGCGACAACCATTGGCGGAACCATGCCAACATGAAGGAGCACATCTCAACAACCAACCATCCAAGACACTATTTGGAGAAGGTTGCCGCCTACTACGGGGTGATGCGAGCAGAGCGCCTCATCACCCTTGTCCAATCACATACAGAGCTTTGAAATTTATAATTAAACAGTTTTAAACCAACTGTCGATGGGTTTGGCACGTTGAAGTTCGATGTGATCGATGTAATGGGTAGCTGCAAGTTCGTTGAACAGAGCGGCAGCAAACATATGGCAGTTGTTTGTTGACACGTTGGAAATGCCCTCGACGAGATTCGAGTCGTAGAGGAAATCTACCATATTCTGCAGATTTAGATTCGATTGGTCAGTAATAATCTCCTCTATTGGAGTTTTTTTTTTCGATAGGCACTTCGATAGGAGGATCTCACGCTTGAACAAGTCTTGCCTCTGCATATGCTGACACCGTCAGTGGGTTTTTCCGCCGACCACCACCACTTTTTCGTTTGAAAGACAACGAAAGCGTGGAAAGCAATCAAATCCGTCGGTTGAAGGTACCACATAGGAGTTTTGTAAATGCCTGCTCAGATGATGGTCTTTTCACCTACGAGGGGTTTGAGATAGGTTGATATCGGCGCTGTCGATTCTCCAAGCATCTTGCCCGATTTTATTCACGTTCGGGTGGAAGTACACGGCTTTATCGTAGTTAGCACCACCAAATTTGTGTACGAGCTCCGAAAGGCCGGACGAGATGTTCGTGCAAGAGGTAGACATGAGAGCATGAAAATTTGCATGCAACCCTGCTGACGAATTGAGCATAATGATGCATGCTGAAAGCAAGTAGAGTCTTTTTATACTGGGTCCTACAGTCAATGAGCACTCGTCAGCTCCGCACCGACGGCACTTCCTGAAAATCATGGATCTGTGTGATCAATTCAATGCGCTCATCAATTACGTTCGATAGCCAAAGGGCTCTCCAGTACGAGATGATGGCTGCAATCACGTGACCGAGGCCGTGATAGATGGACACTACGGGTGCACGTCGTGTGCGCACGTGATCGAGCAGCACGTCTACGCACCGGAGCATGATTTTCAAAAGCGATGCATGCCAGAAGGAGGACAGGAGGAGAGAGACTTTGTAGCGAAACCGGTCAGTAACAAAAAAGAATGTCGCATCTGTTTGTGTAGGAGGTGTCACCTCAATAAGAATATCAATCTCGACAGCGTCGACAGACTAGTTTTCTGAAGAAAACAAACATTGGTGACTTCCTCTCAGCTCACTTCAACTTCACCCCCTGCAAGAAACGCTACATTCTCTGAAGAAATCCTGTTTGTACAAAAGCCCACTAGGCTATTGCACTATTGTGCTTCCTATTCGATTGCAATTATATCGTTCAGAAGCGTTTACGTACCTCCCTTCCACGCCGCAATATTTCCTGGCTGCGTTTTGCGCGAATGTTCAAACCCTTGCCGGCCAGATTTTCCCTCCTATGGTGTCTCCATTTCATGGAGAGTTCGCGCCAGCTCACACCACACCGCAACAAGTGTCGAACGCTCGTAAAAATCTACACCACCCGAGCAACGACGATGCTAAAATCCTGATCTCTATCGTTGATGCCTATTGCTGGGAGACATACCCTCTATCCCATCTGATCGACTAACGACCCCGACAAAGACATCCATACACACCTGCAAAAAGAGCTTGGAATACGTCTTGAGCTGGTCCAAAGCATTAGCGTTTAAGACCGCCTCACACACAAGGAGAACAGTCTTTTCTACAAGCTCCAAGCGCCGCGACTCTTTGAAAACGGACTCGTTGTCAGGTGCCAGCTGGCCGCCTTTCATCTCCTTAGCAATGAAGGCTTCAAGCAGGTCCAAGCGCTTGTCCTCGGGCAGTTCCAAGTCGTCTGTGATAGCAAGAGTAGCTGCAGCAGTAGTTAAACTGCTGGCCATGCGTTGTTTCACTGCATCAGCACTGGTGTCCACAGACCAATCGTCATCATCGACATTGCCATCCACGGAGGACCCGCTGCCAGAAGGTCGTGGAACAGCATCGCTAGCCTGACGACGGGACACAAGGATCAAACACATTGCACAAGTGCTGGTCAAGGCAACAGCTACAGTAGTAACACAACCCGGAGCTAGATTATAGTCCAAAGCATCAGAGAGTATAATCGCATTACCCAGCATAGACACAAAGGTCTAGGTGTATATAAAGGATTATCATCATAGCAATGGGGGTATAAGAGTCCCTTCGGACGTGAGAGTGAAAAGAAAAAGAAGACGATGTTGCAAAGCACATCACTGCACACACACACACAGCGTATAGTGAAGAGAGTAACAGCAGATTAACTGCACATACCATGGCAGATGTGTCCGTGCCCTCGGCAGGCGGAGTTTTCGAGGAATTCTTCTTCGATACCTTCCTGCATGCCAAGAAGCAAGGAGACAATAAAGTAAGGTGAATCACAGAGAACCAAGTATACCTATCATAAACGAATTGACACAGTATCCCAGTACATACAAATATTACAAGCTAAAATGGGAAACGTAAATGTACAACTGCAGTGAGCAACCTAACAACCAAGGACATCAGGCGCTGTCTAACAGGCTAAATTGCTCTCGGAGACCACGACCACAACAAAGTTGTAGTTGCCCTGCACATGAAGCACAATTATTAGCCCAGTGCATTGCAGGTCTCCATACAAGGTACAGTAAATACTGGATATAACGTGCCCCTTTGATTTCGATAATTTATCACTATATCTGGTGCATCACTATAGCCGATTTGCATGCATGAACCACACATGGCACATGACTGTGCATGAAATGATGCGTACACGCTGAAAAAAAAGCATGAAAAGCAGCCACGTGTACATGTGGCTGTTAACAGCATACAGGGAAGAATTTTCTCTCACTCACGTCTGTTGCCAGATGCATCCAGGCAACACTGGATCAGTTTTGGAAGAACACTTGTTTTTGTGATCATCACTCTTGATCATTATAATGCGATATTTTCCTGTACATTTGATATGGTTTGCTTCCTGAAACCCATCACAATAAGCGATATATCGGTATAGCCGATAATAGTGTGTATAGTGATATTTTACCTGTATTTTCTGATTTGATTTTGACGAGTTCTATCATTATAGCCGGTATATCGTTACACCCGGTCACTTTATAAACGATACTCACTGTACTATATACAATTCGGTGGCAGAGCAGAGAATCAGTACCTGCAAGAAAAAAAGAAGGTACAGCTGACAACATTCACGCAAACTCACGTCTTGCCAGATGACGGGGGGTTGGGCGGATTCCGCAAGATGAAGGTGGTGAGTTTGTGGCGCATGTCGACGCCAGTGCGATAGCCGCACGCAATGCAGATTTGATTGATGGTCTGTTTGCGAGACACCTCCTGAACACAGCATGCATACACAGCCACACACACCCAGAATGGACATCACAGCCTACCTTTAGTAATGGCAACAGCAACTCCCGGCAATACTTCAAGACAAACACAGATACACACACGCACACACACACAGTAATACTCACCAAATTAGTCTCTGGGTTTCCACACTCTTTGCACAGGACAAATCGCTTGATGAAGCCATCGAGCATGTCCTGCAGCTTTCCTGCATCATGCGGACCATTGACAATGTAGCGCTCCTTTTTCGTATCCATCTGCACCTGAGCGCCCAGTTCACAGCCAAAATATTTCGTAGAGTCTGAAACACACAGAGAATATCAAAAGCATTACTAGTGGTGTTAGTGGACAATAGCGTAACGTGTAGTTCCTTTGTCCTTTTTTTCAATAAATTTATCCTTGGCTCTCCATCCGAGTCCATTATTTTATTACATGTTTAATACAGAAAACAATGGCAAAGCATGGCAAGAAAACTTCTGCTTGGAAGATACAACAAACAAAGTACCCTGTGCACACAAAATGCGCACATCAACAAAACTCGGAACCACAAAATCGTGACTAAATGCTCACTTTGAGCCAGGTGTGCACAGAAGTTCTGCATTCGGAGATGAAACTGGCTTATTTGCAAGTTCGGATTGCCATTGCCAAAGTGTACAGGAACCACAGGTCCATATCCATGTATGCATACATGGGTGGGTCTTCATCAAGATGTGTGCATGGAAGACAAGCAACCTACATGATGGCGGACGATGAAGGGCCTTCGCAATGGCCACCATGTTGACGATGACCGTTTTCATTCCGTTCCCTTTCCCCTCCACCTTTGCACACAGACACATAGGAAGAATTGCACAGACAAGGTTCTACACCGCGGCAGATGTATTCCAGCATCATCAGGGTACGCACACAGGCATACATTTGAAACTCAAGTATATTTCGGGACACGAAGAAACAAAATTTGAGTGCAGGTATAAGAAGACACCCGGACGGCTGGAACACGACAATGCCTGCCTTGCTCCCGGCTGCCCTTGAAGCAGGGCCAACCTGTGCACGTAACGTGTATGATATCATGAGTCCCCAGCGCATTCGACATCAACAGGTTGCTTACTGTAAAATCAAGAATACTTCACGAGCTTTATTAAACTTATTTTTTCGTATACCAAGGCTACGTGAAATTAAAGTATAAACCGCATACTAAATCCATCTTTAGTATGTACAGAAGGCGACAACAATTTCGTGTGCAAAATATACTTCATTTACAGTGCTTGATGATACAATCACGTGTTACTTAGACCACAGAGCATGTACATCTATAACTTACAAGTGTTTGGGTAGGTTCAAGACATTTCAGGGGTGTTATGGTCTGGTGTAGTCTCTCCCAGGGTACGGGTACTAGGTCCCCAGCATTGTACTAATATAAGGTATTATGGCCCCTTGGACAGTACTCTGGCTGGTCCATTAGACACCAGAAGGTAATTGAATGAATGTGACAAGACCTAAAACAACATAAGCAATATGCATCCACAAAAAGAACATTCATTGGTTTGAGGGAAAGATGCAGCAGACGGGGAAAAAAGAAAGAACATTCAACACACGTTACCAATACAGCTCTTGTTTGCACGCAAACTCGACAGGACGTAGAAATTAGAAACCCCTGGACAATAGAACTAGGTATGCAGTCCAGGCATCTTCTATGTCATGCATTTCTGCTCGGCAGTCTGTGGTATGGTTTATTCCCAAATGCATGCACTCGGACACTTCTGTACAAATGCACCATCTCATGTGTCTAATGGGAGTTTGAAGTTTACTCAATGAGAAACAAAAACGAACGGGGAATGGAGGGGGGGGGGGGGAGGGACATGCAGAATTTCGATATACAGTCCTGCTCAATGAAATCCGGTTGCGTCACTCAAGTACGCACTGGGTGTCCCTCGACCTGTGAACACCGGGCTGCAAAATGGTGCAAGGCGCAAACTTGAGTGACGCGACTGGATTTCATTCAGCAGCATTGTACAAAGGGCGACAAAACAGAAAGGGGGTGAAATGCAGAATTTTGTTATACAGCCTTTCGTATTCCAGTTGTTCACCATTTCGCTCCTTGATATTGGCCGTGCAGCAGAGTATCCAACAGAACATATTATTTTGGCACTGGTTAGCTGTCTGCAGCATCGAGTATTTCTCTATAAACAAAATTCACTGAATAAGAGTGAGCAAGAACAATTATAGAAAATACCTTCGCTTGAAGCGCTGGCATCTTGTAGCGGTAGTAGACATCCGCGATTTCTCTGTTCACGTTGACAGTCGCCATTTTGAACTAAATCATCAATCAGCTAACTATTTTGTTGCATATGAAAATAGTGTTGGCTGCTTTTCCAGCGAAACGTCTTTGACGCCAGGCATAGGTGGAGAATAACGGCATCGACAAGGTGAAGGTCTATATCCCGTAGACGTGGGACGGACGGAGAAGGGAGTTTGGTAGTATTCAGCACTGTAGTTGAAAAGCAGAAAAAGAGCAAGGATAAACAAGAATTACAAATTGAACCTCAAAAACAAAGGACAGGTTGGCACACAGTCCATCTTCTTACTGTGTCTGAGAAACGGCTGAAATCAAAGGATCAGCGAAGTTGAAGACAATACTCAACAGTAAAAAGCGAAACGAACTTGCAAGAGAAAAGGACAGACGCCGATCGAGGAGACTGAGCTGAGGAGCTCTGACAAAACATAGACTGTTGCGTGGCTTCACGCTGCAAAGACCTTTTATGATCAAACAGCTCGCAGATCGATAGATCTACTCCGTCCCGACGGTAGGCGTAGATGTAGATCTACAACTGTAGTACCAGGCCAGGGAGTACTAAAATTTTAGTACAAAGACTTTGTAGATCTACTCCCTGGATCTGGACTGGACGTACATGTCCGTGACCATGGTGACTGTACATGACTCATTGGCTGTATCAGTGTATGTGTTAGAAGCGGTGAGGCCTCCTGCAGTTTCATACAGAATTACAGATGGAGCGGACTCGCTCCCTTCTATTTACACTGCAACGTTCGAACACATTTTCGTAGTTAAAACAACGTTTCGGCATATAGCCCTCATCAGGTTTGCAATGATGTGCACTCTACAAAGGAGCAGCAAATATACTGTGCTGTGGTGTGTTTGCGCCAAATGTGTCAGCTACAAAGGTGGCGAAAGGGATTGGTGATATATTAATATCCAGATACGATATATTCACAGTAGTGCCCAGCCAGCATTAGTGTTTACTTGCGGCCGCAAGTTGCGGATTTCAACAGCTTCTCGCAGTTTTCTGCTTGCTCTGTCGCCTGCCCTTGCCAGGACTGACACAGCCGAGAACACACTATCCGCAGCAGCTATACTCTCGCCAGAATGTTTGTCGCGCACGTGGTCACCCCATGGCTTATCGAGAGTGCGACGGCGTGCCTCGCCATTGTGCTCCCGAATTCTTGTTTCCAAGGAGCGTTCCGTCTCCCCAACATACGTTTCCCGGCACCATTTGCATTGCAATTCGTAGACTACATTCTTTGTCATACATACTCGTTCGCCTCCAGACTGACAGGTAATGCAAGGCCCTAGTGGACGCCCTCTTCGTCTTTTTTCAGTAATGTTGGGCTCGTTTACGCACTTGGGTGGTAACAGCGCCGAACGGCACAGTTGACGCCTGAGGCTGCCCGAGTGCTCGTATACGACACGTACCGGCAACTTGTATTTCCGTATTGCTTTGTTCACATGGTGGTGTACTTCATCGGACTTGAACGGTAGTTTAAGGAAGGCAGAGCGAGGATTACCGCGTCGTCTACGCCGAGGTTTCCTGGCAGCTTCCCTTGCTTCCGATATGATACTGGCTGGGTAGTTATTTATGCGCAGTTGTTTGTGTATTTTTTGTTCGCTCTCGGCTTGCATCATGGGGTTAGACGATAGTCGCTGTGCCCTTAGGAATTGAGATTGAGCGACGGCTAACTTGATGTGGTGAGGAACTGCCGATGAATAATCCACCAGTAGGCCACTACTGCATGCCTTCTGGAACAATTTGAATGACAGCTCTCCGGTTTGCCCAACTGCGATCGTTACGTCCATGTAGTCTATGCAGCCACTGTCACAACTTAATTCATGCGTGAATTTGATACGTTCGTGGCTGGCGTTGAATCTTTCTATGAGCTCCAGAAGGCGCTGCCTACCATGTGTCCATAGGATGATGATATCGTCGATGTATCGTCTGAACAGAATAGGTTGGAAGGGTGAGTCCTGAAGAAGTCGTGTCTCAATGGTGTGCATAAACAGGATGGCAAATGGAGGTGCCAGGTTGTTCCCCATAGCAACCCCATCTAGCTGGTGGTAGATCTGTTTGCCAAATCTGAAGTAGTTATGACTCAGAACAAACTTCAGTAGTGTCCTGACTTGGGTCACGCTCAGCCCGAGCATATCAACTCTGTTATAGTGTTGCTCTAGCACGTCACTAACGGCATTCACGCCCTCTTCGATCGGTATGCTGGGATACAAACCCACCACATCCATCGTAGCCAGAATCGTTCCAGCTGGTGCTTTAAGGCCAGGGTATATGGTGCGGATATTGTCTAGCGCGTCTTTGGTGTTGATGAGGTGCGATGGGACAAATGCAAGCAGTTGATGCAATATGCGTTCGAGAACCACCGAAATTCCTGTGACTGGACTGTCACAAGCAGAGACAACAGGTCGGAGGGGCAAATTTTGCTTGTGGTCCTTTGGAAGACCGTATAGTTCCGGGAATCGTGTGTCATGAGGGAGTATTGCAGTCAGAAGATCAGGATCCATATTCGTGCATTGCTCTTCCAGTATGGATTTAACCTCTTTCTCATACGCAGTGATAGTTACATCCACTTTTCTGTACATAGTGCTGTCAGACAGAAGTGCCTCTGCCTTCTCCAGGTAGAGTTCCTGTTTCATAGCTACTAGCTTCTTGCTCTTGTCGGATTGCTTTATCACTACACTGGGGTCATGACGAAGTTCTCTCAGTCCGTCGCGTTCCTCTTGCGTCATATTATGCTTGGGAGGTCTTTGTTTGCCATATGCTGCCAAAACTTCGTCCTTGAAGTTGGCCATCTTTCTTTCCTCATCCTGGCTCATTCTGGGCGGTTGCTTGAAGCCATGCTTCTTTAGCTTCCACAGCCTGCGATCACACTCGGTACCGGTATCGTGGTCGTCCTCTGGCTGGTCCACACCCTGAGGCCGCGCCTGCTGCCATCTCAAAGTGTAGGCCATCCGTTCTACGGAGGTGACCACTTCTGATTTCTCACGACTGGTTAACTTGCCCGTGGACGGTACAAAACCGGGTCCCAGTTCCAATACCCGTCTGGCATTGTCTGTTACACACGAGTCCATGACAAGCGTTCGCCGAGAATGCTCCATTCCCGTCCGGCCGGGACTACCCAGGGCTGTCCCACTCTGGTAGGACGACGCGGGCAAACATGCCTCATGCGCTTCCCTGGCATCTTCTTGGGCTTGAAGCCTAGACAGCTTCCATCGAAGCCTTGCATTGGTACGGATGCGCTCCTCCGTCACCACACAGCGCCGCAGGGCGCGAATACGCACGTAATCCTCCCTGGAAAACGACCAAAGCTGTTCGCAGAAGTACCGGCACTGTCTTGTACGGAAGTCCCTTTCTGCGCACTTGTCCTGTATTGCGTCGCTCAGAAGTCGGAGACAGTACTGGAAGCGTCTTTGCTGTCGAACACTCTTGTGCCTTGAGGCTGGAGGTGGCCGAACCGATTGCGTGATGAACCGTGGGATGATACGCTCCCGCCGGCATTGAAGAAGAAACGACAACTGGCACTGGCTCCTCTGGAGTTTGCACCCCCATTGCAAGTATCGCCATGGCGCCTCGCTCCTAGAAGAGGAGAACCAAGAGATTAGAAGCGGTGAGGCCTCCTGCAGTTTCATACAGAATTACAGATGGAGCGGACTCGCTCCCTTCTATTTACACTGCAACGTTCGAACACATTTTCGTAGTTAAAACAACGTTTCGGCATATAGCCCTCATCAGGTTTGCAATGATGTGCACTCTACAAAGGAGCAGCAAATATACTGTGCTGTGGTGTGTTTGCGCCAAATGTGTCAGCTACAAAGGTGGCGAAAGGGATTGGTGATATATTAATATCCAGATACGATATATTCACAGTAGTGCCCAGCCAGCATTAGTGTTTACTTGCGGCCGCAAGTTGCGGATTTCAACAGCTTCTCGCAGTTTTCTGCTTGCTCTGTCGCCTGCCCTTGCCAGGACTGACACAGCCGAGAACACACTATCCGCAGCAGCTATACTCTCGCCAGAATGTTTGTCGCGCACGTGGTCACCCCATGGCTTATCGAGAGTGCGACGGCGTGCCTCGCCATTGTGCTCCCGAATTCTTGTTTCCAAGGAGCGTTCCGTCTCCCCAACATACGTTTCCCGGCACCATTTGCATTGCAATTCGTAGACTACATTCTTTGTCATACATACTCGTTCGCCTCCAGACTGACAGGTAATGCAAGGCCCTAGTGGACGCCCTCTTCGTCTTTTTTCAGTAATGTTGGGCTCGTTTACGCACTTGGGTGGTAACAGCGCCGAACGGCACAGTTGACGCCTGAGGCTGCCCGAGTGCTCGTATACGACACGTACCGGCAACTTGTATTTCCGTATTGCTTTGTTCACATGGTGGTGTACTTCATCGGACTTGAACGGTAGTTTAAGGAAGGCAGAGCGAGGATTACCGCGTCGTCTACGCCGAGGTTTCCTGGCAGCTTCCCTTGCTTCCGATATGATACTGGCTGGGTAGTTATTTATGCGCAGTTGTTTGTGTATTTTTTGTTCGCTCTCGGCTTGCATCATGGGGTTAGACGATAGTCGCTGTGCCCTTAGGAATTGAGATTGAGCGACGGCTAACTTGATGTGGTGAGGAACTGCCGATGAATAATCCACCAGTAGGCCACTACTGCATGCCTTCTGGAACAATTTGAATGACAGCTCTCCGGTTTGCCCAACTGCGATCGTTACGTCCATGTAGTCTATGCAGCCACTGTCACAACTTAATTCATGCGTGAATTTGATACGTTCGTGGCTGGCGTTGAATCTTTCTATGAGCTCCAGAAGGCGCTGCCTACCATGTGTCCATAGGATGATGATATCGTCGATGTATCGTCTGAACAGAATAGGTTGGAAGGGTGAGTCCTGAAGAAGTCGTGTCTCAATGGTGTGCATAAACAGGATGGCAAATGGAGGTGCCAGGTTGTTCCCCATAGCAACCCCATCTAGCTGGTGGTAGATCTGTTTGCCAAATCTGAAGTAGTTATGACTCAGAACAAACTTCAGTAGTGTCCTGACTTGGGTCACGCTCAGCCCGAGCATATCAACTCTGTTATAGTGTTGCTCTAGCACGTCACTAACGGCATTCACGCCCTCTTCGATCGGTATGCTGGGATACAAACCCACCACATCCATCGTAGCCAGAATCGTTCCAGCAGGTGCTTTAAGGCCAGGGTATATGGTGCGGATATTGTCTAGCGCGTCTTTGGTGTTGATGAGGTGCGATGGGACAAATGCAAGCAGTTGATGCAATATGCGTTCGAGAACCACCGAAATTCCTGTGACTGGACTGTCACAAGCAGAGACAACAGGTCGGAGGGGCAAATTTTGCTTGTGGTCCTTTGGAAGACCGTATAGTTCCGGGAATCGTGTGTCATGAGGGAGTATTGCAGTCAGAAGATCAGGATCCATATTCGTGCATT